AGAGAGTAGAAGGATGGTTACGAGAGGCTGCGAAGGGTAGTGGGGAGTGGGAGAGAAGTGGAGACGGTTAATGGGTACAAAAAATAGAGTAAGACCTAGTATTTGCTAGCACAACAACGTGACTATAGTAAAAAAAAAAAAATTTATTTGTACATTTTTAAATGCCTAAAAAAGTATATTGGATTGTTTGTAACACAAAGGATAAATGCTCGAGGTGATGGACACCCCATTCTCCCTGATGTGATTATTGAGCCTTGCATCCCTGTATCAAAACGTCTCGTGCACTCCATAAATATATACACCTACTGTGTACCCACAAAAATTAAAAATAAATAAATGAGAAGCAACAAAATCAGTCCTATATTTTACAAAAATAATTATGACGTAATTGAACTTGGGAAAAGCAATTGAAGGGCAATAGAACTGTTTGCCAGCTGTTGAAGTAATTCAGTAAAGAAATGGGCACCTATACTAAAATAAAAGCAGTAGTGATATAGAGACATGACTGGAACCCAAACGCTAAAAAGGTAGAATTAATAGGGCTTCGTTATTGGGTTGAAATGGTGAGCTACCTGTTATGAAATTTTGAAATCTATTTAGCATCAGATACAATGGTGTTATCCAAAGTAAACCGTTTAGTAAGAATTTTGGTTATGCTTCTAAAATTAGGAATTCATCTTGGCTGGGCGCGGTGGCTCACGCCTGTAATCCCAGCACTTTGGGAGGCCGAGGCGGGCAGATCACGAGGTCAAGATCAAGACCATCCTGGCTAACACGGTGAAACCCCGTCTCTACTAAAAATACAAAAAATTAGCCAGGTGTGTTGGCGAGCACCTGTAGTCCCAGCTACTCTGGAGGCTGAGGCAGGAGAATGGCTTGAACCTGGGAGGCGGAACTTTCAGTGAGCAGAGATCGTGCCACTGCACTCCAACCTGGGCGACAGAACAAGACTCCACTTCGAAAAAATAAAAAATTCATCTTGTCCAGGAACTTATTATATAATAATTAACTCATTTTCAAACCATTGTTTTCCTTAACATAGCAGGTAAAAACCGTGCATTTGCTAGTCTTTTGGCAACGATGATTACAGTGAAGGTATTGTACTTTGCAGCTTATAAGAAAGTGTGTGAACAGCAAGACTTTTGCAGTTGTAGGTTCCAAAGTTTGGGAAATATGCATCCTCCTTCAGTCACCTATGGTGCATAGGCTGACCTGCATGCCTTGGGTTGGTCCTGTTTTCCCCAGGATGGATCATGAAGCCGCCCAGCTGGAGAAGCAGCATGTGCACAACGTGTACGAGAGCACAGCCCCTTACTTCAGTGACCTGCAGAGCAAAGCGTGGCCTCGTGTCCGCCAGTTCCTCCAAGAACAGAAGCCGGGCAGCATCATCGCAGACATAGGTAACCCACCATTGGGCCATGCAGCATGAAATATCTTCCATTGAGCCTTTGCTTTTCAGATTCATTTTTTATTTTTGTTCTAATAAGAATCCTGAAATTGTACCCTTGGCATGCCAGTACCTAGAATATTCATTTTACAGCAGAAACTCAGACAGTCAAGTCAGCAGCAAGTAAAAAACTTTCTCAAACTCTTTTTTTTTTTTTTTTGAGATGGAGTTTCACTCTTGTCAGCCAGATTGGAGTGCAGTGGTGCAATCTCAGCTTGCTGCAAACTCCACCTCCTGGCTTCAACTGATTCTCCTGCCTCAGCCTCCCAATAGCTGTGATTACAGGTGCCCACCACCATGCCCAGCTGTTTTTTGTATTTTTAGTAGAAACGGGGTTTTGCCATGTTGGCCAGGCTGGTCTCGAACTCCTGACCTCAGGTGATCTATCTGTCTTGGCCTCCCAAAGTGCTGGGATTACAGGCATGAGCCACCATGTCTGGCCTCAAACTTTGCATTTAGACAGTGACTTTTCAGGGCCTTTGTGTACATCCTCCACCAAAACGGACCTAACATTGATTGAATAAATTAGGATGGAAATGATGGCTTGTGAAACTGACCATTGTAAATTTAAAGACATTCACATTTACCAAATGTGTTCTCCGCTGGTGGCTCACTTTGAGTGGTTCACATGCCTTCTATAGAATTGTGGGATTATGCAAGAGGTCCAGTAATGTCTTATGAATCTCATGGGTCCTTTCCCTTAATTATTCTGTAGGTGTTTCATTATAGGAGCATATCTTTAATTAGACAGTATTTTCATAATAGCTTATTTGTCTGGAGGACATTGGTTCAGCATCCTCCTAAATCAAGAACTGGTAAACCACAGCTTAGTAGATCTAGGACTAAGACTTAAGTTGTGGTTGGAATCTCATGCAAGGCCTGCCCACCTAAAACTGCATTCTAGCAATTGCATGCTGACTGCACCCATGAGTCGTAAGTCTGTAGTTGCAAAGTCTGTCTAGTTTGATATACACTCTAAATACTGGTAAGAGAAGCAGACATACTGGAACTTATGACTTGCTGAAGATGCTATGAGTAATGTGGAATCTGGGGAAGGGGTGCATGTCACATGGAAATTGGGAGTCTTTGAAAAATATCTCTACCATGTAATTTAAAAAATAATAAATCTAGTTTCAGAATGTGCAGTGAGTTTGGATCTATTGTCACCTATTAATGTAAGTAAGCCACGTACCAGGATCTTAAAATCAGTGGGGAAAAGGAACTATTAGGTAAATGGCTTTGGGATAACGACATATACAATCAGAGAGTTACTTTCTCACACCTTACATCAAAATAAATTCCAAATGAAGCAAAGATTTAAGTATAAGGAAATGAGCTCATTAAAGGACTAGATGACAACTAGATTGTTATTTAAAATATTCTCAGAGGCAAAATGCCTATGTATGATACACATACAAAAAGAAATCATAAAAGAATATACAGTTCATTGCCATTATTCACAGTACTTTGATTTCATATATGTATCATAAACATTGAATTGGCAAATACTGAATCATTACTCATAGGGGAAATATTGGAGTAGGCTCCTGTAAGCTTCGGGTCACAACATTTTTGTCAATTTACCAATGTGTAAGCTTGTTGCATTTGTGCTTCTGTTTAAAGACACCTTGATTACTGTGTATCATTATTTCATAAACATTGGGCTCATGGCCAACACACTATAACTCTTTCCTGAACAAAGCTTATCTAACACATATATTTTGTCCATCAGAGACATCCCAGCCTTCTTATGTTCAGGAACACTAGACGGCATTTCAGCCCCAGGCTTAGGCTCTTTGAAACAGCAAAATCACCAGTAAAAACTGTACAAATGGAGAAATCGTGGCCCTAAATAGATTATGAAAAGGACACACGATTACAGTATGGGAGCTGAAAAAGGGAGTCTGGGTATGTGGGTCTCAAGTGACTCAAATATTTTGCTGCACTGTGAGTATATAAGTCTGATAATGTCCATGCAGTGCTGTAGTATTGACATTGGGGTTACAAATAAATTTCAGCAGGTAGATTAACTGCAAATATGGAAGCTGTAATTGATGAGGATTAACTGTATTGACGGATAACTTTGACCCTATAAAAATGGAAAAGTTCCACAAGACAAAAATGTAGACAGACATACAATTCAAGTCAGAAGACCAAAATCAAACTAAGTAAAAATATCTGCAACATGTCATAGAAATCTAGAGAATTTTTTTTTTTTTTTTTTTTTTTTTTTTGAGACGGAGTCTCGCTCTGTCGCCCAGGCTGGAGTGCAGTGGCGCGATCTCGGCTCACTACAAGCTCCGCCTCCCAGGTTCACGCCATTCTCCTGCCTCAGTCTCCAGAGTAGCTGGGACTACAGGCGCCCGTCACCACGCCCGGCTAATTTTTTGTATTTTTAGTAGAGACGGGGTTTCATCGTGTTAGCCTGGATGGTCTCAATCTCCTGACCTCGTGATCTGCCCGCCTCGGCCTCCCAAAGTGCTGGGATTACAGGCGTGAGCCACAAGCCCCGCTGATAATTTTTTTAAAAGCATTCTTCAATGTCACTGTAAAAAAAAAGATCAGCATCCTGTCATTTGCGACAACACGGAGGAACCTGGAAGATATTATGCTATGTGAAATAAGCCAGGCACAGAAAGACAAATACCCCGTGATCTCACTTATATGTGGGATCTAAAACAGTGGGACTCATAGAAGGAGAGATTAAAATGGTGGTTACCTGGGGCTGGGGTGTCAAAGCAGGTGTGGTAGGTGTAGGAAATGGCAAGATGTTGGTTAAAATGTTCAGAGTATCAAACAGAAGGAATAAGTTCAAAAGAAAGAAAAGGAAAAATACCATCAAGTCACAAGAAAAATAGTTAAAGGATGTGAACAAGTGGTTCAAAATGTGTAAAAGTATTTTAATAGGTAACCCACCGATATGGTTCAGCAACAAAGCACAAAAGAATGCGTAGTGTAAAATCTTCTCCCATCCTGGTCACTGGCACCAAGCAACCCACACCAGAGGCCTCTGCCGCTATTAGCTTCTTGCATGATCTTTTTGAGATGTTTTATGTAAATATAAGCGTATTTGTGCCTGTGAGTGTGTGATGGGTAATTTCCCTTTTTTTGGTTACACTAATGGTAGTATACTATTAATTATACTCCTAGCTTTTGTTATACTTTTAATATATTGAGGAAATCATTCCATATTTATTTTTATAGAGCTACCCAGTATTAAAAGCTGCCTAGCATTCTGTGCTAATAGTGCCATATTAACATTTAATATATGTTGTTTGCTGTATTTTGCCACTACAAATTACACTACAAATAGGCCAGGAGTGGCATCTCACACCTGTAATCCTAGCACTTTGGGAGGCGAGGCGGGCAGATCACTCAGCTCAGGACTTCGAGACCAACCTGGACAACATAGTGAAACTCCATCTCTACAAAAAATACAACAATAGTAAAAAAAAAATTGGCTGGGCATGGTGGCACATGCCTATAGTCTCAGCTACTTGCGAGGCTGAGGTAGGAGGACTGCTTGAGTCTGGGAGGCAGAGGTTGCAGTGTCCTGATGTATTTCAGAAGCAGCAAGCTAATCATCTTTGAATAGTGATAGATATTTTTTCAGGTAGAAAAATTGTATAGGTAATGTCAATAGGTACAAATATAGGCTCTAGTGGTTTCTTTTAATATTTCTGGAAAGGAATTAGATTATATATCTGTGATAGAATATAATATAAAGTATTCGATTGTAGAAGGCTTTGTTTCAAGGTGGTTATTCATTCATGTTACTACCTTCTTCAACCATAACATCAGTAAGACCTCAATGATCTAAACCTTTGGGCTTTGTAAATCCTGAATTATTTAGGTCTCTGCCACTGGAAAGTGAATATCAAAAATTGCCTATTTAAGAAAAAAAAAGTAGTTTTTAAAATCTGAGCTGTGTACTGGGTCCATAGAGATCATTTTAAATGTAGCAATGAATAGAGATTGGATAAAAACAATGTTAAAAATGCTTTTCTAATTCAAGTTCAAATTTTTAAAAGTCGAAAGGCATGTTTTAGTGTATAAATAATTGAAAAGTTGTTGACAGTTGTTTGTTTTGCAGTCAGCAAGTGGTAAGAATCTTTGGAGGGACAACAGGAGAATAAGGGCCGTAACATGCGTGTATATACAATGAAATACGGATGTGAGCTTAGAGGCCGCACACGGGCTCTGGGATACTAGAACTACCTTTCTTGCCATGGACCAGCTAATGTGCCTTGGTTGCACTAGTGTACTGAGCCCTGTGGACATTACCTCATTAAATATTCAATAAATGTTATTTTTTTCCTATGGCCTTTCTCTCTTCTATATGAGAATATGTAAGTATTCGCTGAAGACTTTCATTTTTGTGAATACCTTCACACCATGTTGTATTCTGTCTTGGTTAGTTAAAAAAAAAAAAAAAAAGGGTGGCCGGGCGCAGTGGCTCAAGCCTGTAATCCCAGCACTTTGGGAGGCCGAGGCAGGTGGATCTCCTGATGTCAAGAGTTCAAGACCAACCTAACCAACATGGAGAAACCCGTCTCCATGAAAAATACAAAATTAGCAAGGCACAGTGGCACACGCCTATGATCCCACCTACTCAGGAGGCTGAGGCAAGAGAATTGCTTGAACCCGGGAGGCAAAGTTTGCAGTGAGCCAAGATCGCGCCACTGTACTCCAACCTGGGTGACTGAGCGAGACTTTGTCTCAAAAAATTAAAAAAAAAAAGTTAATTATATTTCTTGTTATGAGACAAATGAACTATTTCACACTTTCCATTGAGGACAGCATGTAATGCAGGTTTTTCTCTTATAGGTTGTGGGACTGGAAAGTATCTTAAAGTGAACAGCCAGGTACATACCGTGGGCTGTGACTACTGTGGGCCACTGGTAGAGATTGCCCGGGATAGAGGATGTGAAGCCATGGTATGTGACAACCTTAATCTCCCCTTTAGGGATGAGGGCTTCGATGCCGTCATCTCCATAGGAGGTAAGGCAGCCAGATCACACATTCACCCTTTGCCATGAGAATAATTGACATGGTTTAGTCTGTTCTCATGACTCACCATCTGTTCTGTGTAGAAATGTCAATGTAATTTATTTTCTCTAATTTAAAATAATTGTTTCAACTACTTGAGTGATTTGACTCAACTCCAAAATGTATTTATGGCACATATGATTGTTTTAACTATTTAAACCTTCAAATTGTCATTGCAGTTTTTTAATGATTCATTCCAGTTTCTTTTATTTATGAGTAAGAAAGGATAAAAGGAATCTTACTCATTGAAAACAGCACTTCATTATATTTAAATGAAGCCAGATTCATGCAAAGCAAAGTAGATTTTTAGAAGTTATATTACCATTTTTTAGGCCAAAATAGTGGCCTTTGTTAGCAGAGAATTCTAGGGCTCACACACCAAATGTCACCTGGACCAATCTGCCACTCACGGGCACTCAGGTTCAGGGAGAAGGCGGGTCCCATCTGGTCTTGGATGGCATTGTTTTTATAATGCCACTCTGCTCATATACTGCCAGAGATTGTTCATGAGTCTAGGGAATGTGTTTCTCATATCTTCCCAAAAAGTGTGACCAGAAAACACGCATGCCAAAAAATGGGGAAAAAATTCTATGCCTGAAATACACGCAGGTAAGGAATACATGACACCTCCCATATTTAAATATGCAGGGAAACTTGATATTTAAAAGAATCCTATAGCAAGGTTTTTTTTTGTTTGTTTTGCAATGGGAAAATCTTTTGCAAAGCAAATTACTTGTCCCAATACACTCTTAAAAATCAACCTATTTGGCTGGGTGCGGTGGCTCACGCCTGTAATCCCAGCCCTTTGGGAGGTCAAGGTGGGTGGATCATGAGGTCAGGAGATTGAGACCAGCCTGGCCAACATGGTGAAACCCCATCTCTACTAAAAATACAAAAATTAGCTGGGCATGGTGCAAGCACCTGTAGTCCCAGCTACTCAGGAGGCTGAGGCAGGAGAATCGCTTGAACCAGAAAGGTGGAGGTTGC